ACATGCCTAGCAAGTATGAATCTCTTAGTTCAAAACTCAGTGCCACCAGAAAGAAGGAAGGAAGGAAGGAAGGAAAAGAAAAAAAAATGGAGGGAAGGAGAGAGGGAAGGAAGGAAAGAAAGAAGGGAGGGAAGGGGAGGGAAGGAAGAGGGGAAGGAAGGAAGGAAAAGGAAGATGAAGAGGGTGATAAAAAGACAGGAGAGCACATAAATAATTACAGAGAAGATTCCAGAGCTTGGGAAAAACTACCCTTCAGACACCAGTTTCCTTATGACCAGGACTATCCTGGCCTATGGATCTGTTATGTTAGTGTGAGCTTTCACAGCCCATTCTGAGTGCCCTGTTGTAGAAGAGAACCTTTATGATCATCTTACTTTTATCCTGTCACCTTGACAGTTAAGTTTTAAGCTTTGTTTTTCTAGAATGTGACTTTTTATATAGGGTTTATTAGCTTACATTGGATCCCAGGGAACTAGAGCTCCCACTTAAGTACTTTGACCAAATCTTCCCTAGCAATTCCCATCTTATGTGGCCTACAGTTCCATGACTTTATTCCAGTAAGTAGTATCCCATAATGGGGACCCACCCTGATGACCTTATCTGATCTTAGTCACCTCTCAAAAGTCACACCTTTGTTTAAGACTCTCATGATTGGGTTTTAATATGAACCAGAGAGAAGGTCCATGGGCCAAGTGAGGGTTCTTTACAAGTGGAAGCCTTTGTGCACATTTACAGTCTACAAAAGCATTCTCTGTACTGTTGCCACATCACCCCAATCCCCCCAAAAGATTTCAGACCACAAAAACTTTTATATTCAAAGACTATAACTATAGCTTGACTTGAGAGGCACTAGAAGGAAAAAGAAAATCATGATAAGGTGAACCTCCTGCTGCAACTTTTTGACAGCAGTACCTTTTGGGTTAGTATGTGTGTCGAAGTTCAGAGATTTGGCCTCATAGTGCAGGTTGATGCTCTCTAAGAAAGTCCAAATGAGTTTGTGAAACACTATAACAAAACTAAGTGAATTTCTCTCCTATGAGATTATGAATTTTTAATATACTCATCTGGGTCATGAATCTCCATACGGGGAGTGCCAAATGTACCACTTTCCCAAGCTATTTCACCATGGAACTCTTTTACCTATCTTTCAGGACTCTTTTCCTATAGAATGCAGAAATGTGGTAGTAATAATATGATAATGTAAAAAGTACTATGACAATGCTTTATAAATTTCTACTCTTTATTCTCACAACTTACTAAACATTGGTTTTATCTCCATTTTTCAGATGAGGACACTCAGCTCTAGTGAAGTCCATTAGCCCTTAAATGGCAGAGCCAGGATCTTGTTCCAAAAAGGAACCAACTACGTTAGTTACTAAATCCCAAATATGAAGTTTTGAATTTACATTCACATACACATCTAGAAGCAGTTAGCACTGTCAGTCACTTTTCACAAGCTGTGGCTATTCCTGTAAGCATTCCTATTATTACAATCAATCTCGTGAAGAGAATACAGAATTTGAAGCATTTCCAAGATCCTCAGGAGGTTTTAGAAATGGTGTACTAGGCCTGTACCATAGAAATGTCGAGTCACTGGAGTGCTGCTTGTGTTCATGTTTTACTTTGCATCCGTAATGGTGAAAAACTGCTCAGCCCTTTTCTCCCATACATCTACCTTGTTGAGGCTGGAATTGGAGAGGGATTAATTTATGCTTATTCCACATAATGAGCCAAAACCCATTTATTACCAGTATCCATTCCTTAGCAAAGCATGCACACACACATCTAAGTGCTGAGCAAACTAAGACATGCAGCTGCTGTTGAGTGGAGCAATAATAGACCCGTTTATATTCGGGTGCGGATCAGCAGGCAGAAGCCACCCACGGAACACAGAGGGCAGTGGCACTCAATTGCTCCCCACTGTCTGCTGCATCCTGCATGCCTGCCTTGGGGAAGTGACTAAGTGATGCAGAGGTGGGGAGGGGAGTGGATGACATGAATTTTAGAACTCTGAGTACAGAAACTTATTTTCCCCAAAGAATGTGCTAATTACCCAACAAAGTCAATGCTGATTCTTTAGGAATAATGATTTGAGTGTGAATGATTTAAGTTTGAATTATTTAACCTTGTGATGGAAGAGAAATGGGCAGAGAAAGGGAAAACAAGGAAATAGAATTCATTCAGGTGTGTGTGGAGGGGTGCATGTGTGTGCATATGTATGTTTTCATGTTAGTGAGAACCTGGCTAAGGTAATTTCCTCTTGTAATTTTTCAATTATTTTAAATGCCACCTCTCTAAGCAAACTCTTTATTTTTCTTGTTTGCATTATAACGTTGTGATTTTGGTTATATTAAAAGAGCACTCAGCGAGGTAAGAGAAGTTTAACTTTATTCCTGCCTCTAGCATCCCAACCATCTCTTGCCTCTCTGGGCCTTCCTTTATTCCCTAACACATGGATGCTTGTATTAGAGGATTACCTTTACCATAGAGAGAAAGACAGACAAATAGAAGGAAAGAGACTTTATCATTTAGAGTTGCAGATGATAAAATTACACGTGTCATCTAAATTTGAGTGTATGATATTGGATTCTAACTGCTCTTTTAAAGTGTAATATTTTAACTTGTGTCACTCATTTGTTTTCTTCCTGTGCTGTAGTCTTTTGTTTTCTTTTGAGACAAAATCTGACTATATAACCCAGACTGGCCTTGCAGTCATTTACCTTTCTACCTCAGCCTCCCAAGTGCCCAACTATCCTGTGCTATCGTCTTAACTTTAATCTTCATCCTCATAAATATGTTTATAAATTTCTTATTATTTCCCACTTGGTTGAGCATAGGGAAATTGTGTGTGTGTGTGTGTGTGTGTGTGTGTGTGTGTATCATGGCATAGGTTCAGGTCTCTGTTTTTCCATTTACTAGTTCAAGTCCTTTAGAATGATATTAAATGATGAGAATATCACTGCTCTTATCTGTGTAGTGGGGATCATAGCTCTAGCTTTCCATTTACTAAAATCAGTTGAACTAATATTTATGACAAATGGAAGGTGTCCTTTTCCCAGGATGAAATCCTACCAATTGCAGTGTGAGTTATCAAATATTTCTAGACTTTGCTGATGGCACTGAGGGCTTCATTTTCTTATTTTGGGTAGAAAGCAAATTTTCCTTGAATGTTGCACTACAGCGGGGTGGCACCTGTCCCCTCTTGCACAGATAACACACTCTCACTCCACAGCTTAAGGGCTATTTGACTTGAGGGGAGAGAGAATTACATAAGATGTTTTGTGCCTCTGAAAAGCTGACTCTGCTATACTGACTAAGCCTCTTTCATTTTATTCCAAAACTATTTGATTATATGAGATATACTTTCTAGTACAAGCCATTACATGGCTGGGATGTAAGCCTTCAAAAACTAGACAGGGCAGAAGCAGCTAAGGGTTTTGCCTGAGGCCACCAATATTATAGTCACTAATTGTTAGCTTTTCTACCTGGATGGCCACAATGTTACCCTTTCCACTCTCAACAGAGAAAAGCCACAGAAGATGGTGCTTAAAGGTCACCTGCATTTCTAGGTATCAGACTTTGCTTAAATTGATGGAATGTAAAGGGTAGGCTTCCGTGAGGTACATGTGAATTGTTTTTTTAGTCAGCATGTCAGTTATTGAGAGCATAGAAATTAATTACAAACAAAGTCCTACAAGACAACAGGTGTAACCCTGAGGTGAAAGGAGATTTGGAGGTAGAGAGAAATGTTTCTCATAACTTCATTCTACAGTGAACTCAGAGAAGGAAACTCATGTATGCAGAAGTTTCTGCTTTGTCTGAAAGGAAGTTTGTACATATAAGAGATTGGTGTGGGACATCAGGACTTCAGGAAGTTGTGGAGACAACTGGATGGCATACCTCTTCCCCTGTATCAGAGTGCTTGCCCTTTAAAAATAGTCACTTAACCATCAGCTTCCAGGGCTAGGAGTATGTCTCAAGTGGTAAAGCAGCTACCTAATAAGTGCACAGCCCTGAGTTTAAACCCTAGTACTCTCAAAATAAAACTGTCAGTTTTCAGTCTGCTCCATGACTTTCCAGTTCTTTCTCTTCCAGTGACTGGGATAGGGTTGACAGGGATTGGATAATCCATAAAAATAAAAATTCCTGTTTGCTGTTCTAGTGATTATTCACTTTTTAATGGGAAAAGCTTGCATGTGGAGTATAGGAAAATTGAATAACAATTAGTATTGCATTATTATAAATGCAGACTTTCATTCTTGACTTAGGATGACGAATGATGTTTCAACTTTATCAGGTGCAAAAGCATGTCAAAACAACCATTCTGTTTTTCACTTTCAGTAAAATCAAGACTATATTATAAAATAGGCTTTTGTTAGATTATTTTAACCCACTGTAGGCTAACAAGTGTTCTGAGCACGTTTAAGGTATGACATTTGGTAGATTACAGGTGTGAAGTGCATTTTTGACTTATGATATTTTCAACTTGCAAAGAGTTTATCAGGATGTAAGTGTCATTAAGTCAAGAAGCACATGTATTGGTTTGGTTAATAATAATAGTAGTAGCACTGATAGGATAAAAGTTAATACTTATAAAGAGTTTAATAAATGGATACATGAACTCATTTAATCCTCAAAGCCATCCAGTGAGTTATGCATTATTATTCTCTTCTACTCACATATGACATATTAGGTGAAATAAGTTATCCAGGTGCACACAGCCAAGAAGTGGTAGAGTAGGGTTTGAAACAAAACAGTTTGGCTTTGAGGTCCTGTTTTTTTGTTGCTCCATTGTAGCATTTGAACAGGCCAGCTGGAGCACTGTTGGGGCTGGGTCAGGCTCAGATATATGCACATGTCAGCTATGTAACCTGCATCTTGTATGCATACCCCACATAATTCTCTAGGACTCACCCAGCTTGTGTGAATCATATGAATCTCTCATAGAGTCTCACCTGACCAAGTTTTTACTCATGACTGTGTCTTATTTCCTCCCCCAGCTCCACTGGTGGACCTCACTCCAACTCACAGTGGATCCGCCATGCTAATGCTACTCTCCGTGGTGTTTGTGGGGCTAGCTGTGTTTGTCATCTACAAGTTTAAAAGGTGCGTGTCCCTCCATCCACATGTCCCCTACCCTACCTCTTCTTTTCTTCTGACAGGTTCAGAAGCACACATTGCAGTGATGTGCACCTCCCATACAGAGCAGTGATGGTTTCTGTTAATGTTTTAGGAAGATCCCGGGGATTAATGTTTATGCCCAGATGCAGAATGAGAAAGAACAAGAGATGATCAGTCCAGTCAGTCACACTGAAAGCAGGCCCAGTATCCCTCACACTGAACTCAGGAGGCCTGGCCAGCTTATAGATGAGAAGGTGGAATCACAGCTCATAGGTAAATGATTCCCAGTAGCCATCGGCTGCCCAGCCTGAGTAGTCAATGATTGACTCTCCCTCTAACCCCTTTCTGGCTTCACATAACCACTTTTTTCTGCTCTAACATCCCTGATAGACACAGCTAAGATGTCTTTTTCTTGCTCCTATCTAGCTTTTATTCTCTCATTAATTTATTCCTCTTTTTGCAAAAACCTTCCCTAAAACACCAAACTTCTAATATTTACAAGCAAAGAATATAGCATTTGCTCAAACAATATATGAGAAAGAAAGGCCTCAGAATCTGGGGCCGATGGGTGGAGGGCTGGGCAGTGTTTAGGGACAGCAATGTGTTGACCAAAATAAAGCATGGCGGTCTCAACTAGAGATAGCTCCAAGGAGGGAAAGTGCTTCTGAACACCAGCAGAGGGACAGTGGCCAGCTTAAACACCTGGGAATATTTTTTGATATAGTAATTATCTAGAAGCTATCTCCCAGGAAACATTGAATCTGAAATCTTGAGGGCAAAGACTTACAGTTTGTAGAACATCCAGGGCACGAGGATGCTGAGACAGACCAAGCACAGAGTTAGCCTACTAAAATCAAATTGGCAAATGCCCTTCTCTTGGAATTTCCCTTAGGGAACGTCTTGAAATGGACTTCATCATATTTCAGTACAGCTCTGCCTGTGAGTAACTGTGGAAATCCCACAGCTAGGTATAGTAAGCGTGAAGTTCAATTGCTAAGTCCTCCTATTTATTGCAGAAGAAATTTACCAGGAACTTAGACAAACCCATGGACCCACCATGACTGATCCATTTCTGTCCTTGGTTCCTCCTGTCTGTGGCCTCAGGAGTTGAAGCTGTAAATGCTCACAACTAGATCCTGCATTGCTGGCTGCGATGGATAAATTATTATATAACCGTTCATGCTTCACTCTAATGTCATAATGCAAACCATCTAGAAGACCTTTACATAAGATTTTTAATCTGATACTTGGAGAAAAATGAGTATGTAAATGGAAACAGAACCTTCTCTTTAAATGGATAGGGGAAAATTCTGTGATTGTATAAAGGGGAAATTTAAATGCAATGACCTGACCAGCTCATATTGGATATAGTAGTAACAACTGCAGCCACATCTGGTGTGTAATTTTCACAGTGCATTTTCTTGCACTGAGGAAGACAGGGTGATAAATACTCAATAGCTTTGGGTTAAAATGGAAATGGCTTTTCTGTCTTCATGTCAAGAGTAGCATACACCCTATCTGTTCTCTTCTGAAACTTCTAAGATGCTGCCTTTATTTTTGTTGTTGTTTTGGGGTCATTTGGTTCTAAGTTGCATTTCCACGGGGTATGAAGCACAGTGGCTGTTTACTTTATTAAAGTAGCAATTCCTCCTCCACCAGGAACATCTCACAGCACATTGCAAAGTCTCTGACACCTTTCCATTTCCAGTGTCATTAAATGAGTAAGTGTTACACGTTTTCTCTTAGGAGAGTAGCTTTACCCTCCCCTCCCTCCCCTTCTACTCAACCTGGTGACTCATCTCTCCGATTGCAAAGAGCAAGACACGCCACTCCACCTTCAACGCCAAAGAGGGGATCTGCTGGGGCACAATTTGCAATTTAAGAAAAACCCCTAAAGGCTACAGGCGACCTGCTGATCAGGAAAGAATTTCGCTCTTGTCAAGTGCATCATCCTTCATGACCACTAACTTTATGTTTTTTTCTTTCCTTTGTTGTTCTGTTTCCTATTTTGCCAGGAAGTATTTCCATAGTTGCTGAGAATCAAAGCACAAAAGAAATCCCTACCTATGTAAATGTTTGAATGGAGGACGCCAGTAAAAAAAAAACAAAAAAATAAAATAAAAACAATCAAAATACAAACAAACAAACAAACATTCACTGCATCGGGACTTTTTAATTCTTCAGTCACAGACAACAAGGGTTTTTAGCTTTAAGCCTGTGCATGTGGACAATATCTTGAGAACGTGTTTGGAGGGGCAGTGTACAGGTGCTCTATTTTAATGGAAAACACTCCCCTCCCCTTTTCTTCTCTTTTTTCTGATCGGTCGTGTTTGTAGAAAATTCATAACATATATAGGCCAAGGAAATCTGCATGTATTTTTGGAAATATTCTTGGCTCTAGATTTAAAAGCTATTTTAGCACTACAGGCTGATGGATGGATTAGCCATCCTAAGCCTTTTCATAAGACACAAAGACATGCACAGGAGTTTGAAACCCTGAGCTGTTTCTCTGTTCCACTTTCTTTATTGTGATTTTCCCTTCTAAGTTAGTTTTGGTAGCTCTGTTGGTCAACAGTGACCACAAGGCTGCTTTCTCTCCATTCTCTGTGGCCACAGAGACAAAGATGCAAGTTGAAGATTCATATATGCAGGTACAATAGGAAAGGAAGGGAGGCAGGGAAGTAAAGCATGTCAGTCTGGACCTTTGTTTCCTGTTCAACTTTTCTTCTTGCAGCTTTCCCTACTCATGCCCCAACTGATGTAGAAAATGGATTTTTTGCAGTAGCTACCCATTGTGTTTCCTTTCTATTTTTTATTGCCCTTCATGTGTGGCCATGATTGGTTGATGTCTTTGAACCTCTTCCTTCCAACCCCAAGTTATCCTTCAACTGCTCCCATTTTTTCTTCCCAAATATGTTGCCAGATTTGGGACACTAACCCTGAAAATTCCTAAATACTGGCCTAGCCTCTGCCAACCTTGACCTCACCATTCACAAGTCTCTAATCTCTGTCACTTTGTACATTCCCAAGCATGCCAGCTTCTGTGCACACTGACCAGACTGCATCCTGCTTAGCAGGGTTCAGCTTCATGGATCCTTTGTCCTTCCTCCAGAACCTACCTTTTTCAAATATCCCTGTGTTTTCCCTCCTGGAAACATATAATGTGTATAAAAGAGTTGATATATGCAAAGCAATCCAATCCTGGCCAGGTACTTTGGAAAAGACAAGATACAGATGAATAATGGCATTATTCACACGTTAACAAAAATCTTTTAAGGTTAGAGTCTAGAAAACTCTTGTGAGAAATGTTTGAACATGTGACTATATTGCAAAGCAATTTCTTCCTGTGATTGTTGATATTATCCAATATTTCCTGTCTCACAACAGAATAAACATATTGGAAAGGTAAAACTGATTTTAACCAGGAGAAGCAAGTTAATGGACTTAATGTTTAAGAGTGTCAAAGAGTCTGAGAAAATAAGTCTTGTCTTACATTAGGATGAGATTTTGATTACTTAGGATGATCCCAGTAATTTCATATGTGCTCTCTGTTCTCTGCTTATTGTGGTACCAATAAAGGAAAAAATAACTCAGTATAAAGGGAAGGAGTTAGTTTACTATGGCAAAGCAAAGCAAGTCTCCACAATCCTCAGATCCTCAAAGCATAAAGAAACTTTGGTTTTCCCAGAGTGATGATGAAACAAGGCCCAGGGAAAGAAGGAAACAAGAACCTGTACCTACTAAAGCCCCTTTAGTATTGTAGACTGGACAAAGCCAACTCAAAAATTCAGGAGAAAGCAGTTCTGATAAACCATTCAGAGAACCCAGCCTCCTTCTTGGTTGTGTCCCCAAACCAACAACAGGGTATAACAGGGGGCCTGGTGATAATGAAGATGTCCTAATGATTATAATGATCCCTAACCTTGTGTATCTCAGGCGGGGGAAGAGTAGAAAAGTTGTTGTCAGAAATTAATCAAGCAGAAAGTTTTGTGGTTGAGATGTCCCATGTGAAGCCAAGCAGTGGATTATGCCTGGGGCAACCACCTCTTTGTAGAACTCAATTCCCAACCTTGCAGGTTCCCAGTCTCATAGGAAACATCCTCATTGATTCTCTTCAGTTAGAGCCTTCCAAATTTAACCTGGAAGACAAAGTGTTTAGAACCAAAAGAGGCTCACTCAAGCCAGCACAGGGAATCCTCAGAGTTGTGGTTCAATTCATCCTAATTAGAAAATTATGAAAAAAGGGAATAACCTCAGTCTAGCACAGTGCCTTGCCTAGAATAGTATTACGAAAATTATTTATCAGTGAAATAAATTAGTAAACAAACATAGGGAGGAAGGGGCTGGAAGTTCTTATTTAAAATAGAGGTGTACATGAGATGCCTGGCCTTTTGGAAAGAGACCAAAAGTGGCCAGCTATACATTCAGCCTCTCCCGTGTCCTCATGTGCCTCTCCTCAAAGCTCCCTCCCACCTGTAGGTGATTAGTGAGGCAAGGTACTGCTTAGAGGGGACCTTATAGTTCCTATGACCTTGACTAGCAGTTCCCAAAGTGTGGTACCCTATCCAGCAGCAGTATCAGCTGCTAGACTTGTTAGAAATGCAGATTCTGGGCCTGTTCCCCTGACCTACTGAGTCGGAAACTATAGGAGATGAATAGCATTGCCCTCTAATGATGACAGTAGGCCCAGAAATCTGTTTTTCTAAGCCATTTAGGTGATTATAATGCATGCTCAAGTTTGAGAACCACAGTATAGGCCATCCCAGCTGAATCCTAAAGAGAAGGTAGTAGTGAAAGCCTACAAATGGGAGGGACCCAAGTGCCTACCTACTCACTAATAGCAGGTGCAATTACAATGAGGAGATTGGTGGGCTTAAGACCAGAGGAGTATGGGGAGGGAGGGATGTGGAAGGTAAGATTCAGGGCAAGCTAAAAATATGATACTGCAACACTTTCTAAAGTCCCAGAAGGCAAACTGTGCATGCTCTACCCTGAGCTACCCAACTAACATTTTCTCCCTTGCCTTATTCCTAATTGGATTCACTGTCCAAAATGCAGAGGTCTGCTTTGCTTTTGTTCAGAAGTTCCAAACAGCAACTATGAGCGCAAAGGGGTGCTTGGCAGCTGTTCTGTGTTTTCCAGGATTCCAACTGAGCATTTAAATCCCTCATTTGCCAACTTATTTTTATAGGAAGCCAATTTAAAAAAAAGTTTCTTATAGTATGGGAACTACTTCTAATTTTAAAATGACTTTTTTGATGTATTTTTTGTTAAATACTAT